CAAAGATTTTGAGGATCAAGGGTCATTTAGAGTTTTATAAATGTCTAAAAATGAACGGAGGAGTGAAGTAGAGGAACAGAAAGGCGGTGAAAACAAAGTGAGGAAGATTAAAGACAGGATGCTGGAGGAGGATGAAAGGTCATGAATGAAGGCGCTGAAATTAACACGACAAAACAGATTGAACCGGTAAATGAAAGAAAGGTTGACGGGGTAAAGACGGGGTAAAGACATGGAAATTCTGTATTTCTCCCCAAAATGAAAAATATACAATGATATACAGTTTATTGACTTTAACACAAGTTTGAAAAATACATCTTAAACATAAATGTGTGAGAGAACTAAGGTAGAAAGTGTTGGCGTTGGCAGTGAAGGATGTTCCAAACCACAGCTACAGGAAATAAAGTGTCAGCGACAGCAGCATGACAGACGTATGGAAACAGCCGTGAGTGGATTTATTAAGCAGAAGGTGAAGATCTCCTGATGCCTACCCAGAGAGGAGGCTCGCTGGGCCTCTGGGGCCTCGAAAAACTTCTCCTGACTCTCGGTCACCTCTGGGGGAGAGAGGGGGCAGACCAGAGCTGTCGGGGTGGGTTTGATTGTTTGATTGTTTGATTGTGTGTGAAATTGATGTCATATTTTGTCTTTTTTCACTTTTTAGAAATCCCATTTCATCTAAAGTCTAGCACAGGGGTGTTAAACTCAAGGCCGGGGGCCAAATCCGGCCCGCGACTTCATTTCATGCGGCCCCACAAGAGCTTGCAAAGAATATAATATGTTTATTATACGGGTACATGCCGATTTACAGAAGCACGTTGCCCATAAACTACATGTCCCACAATGCATCTCAAATATGACTTTTTTTTCTCAGAATTTGACCTTTTTTTCTTGAAAATATGATTTTTTTTTCCCCTTCAAAATAAGATTATTTTTTCCTTCAAAATAAGATTTTTTTTCCTTCAAAATAAGATTTTTTTCTCAGAATTTCACTTTTTTTCTTAAAAATATTCCTTTATCTCAGAATCTAACTTTTCCTTCTAAATGTCACTTTTTTTTCCAAAGTGTCATTTCTTTTTTTTGATTTTGACTTTTTTTCCAGAATTTGGCTTTTCTTTTGAAATCACTTTGTGACATTCTGACTGAAGAGCCTTATGAAGTTATTACCCTGTCCGATAACAATCCAATGCAGAGGCAATCATGTAATATAATACATTATTTTATATATATTAAATATTTATATATGTATTTTTATATAAAACTGGCCCTTTGAGTGCAACCATGATGCGGCGAGATGAAATTGAGTTGGACCTGCCTGAGTTAGCGGATCAACAGAATACAAATTGTAGTATTTTGATGATTTATTTCAGTATTTTAACACAAAAACGGATTGAATTCTTGCTCCATGAATATTTGCTGTTTTAGATTGGTTGTTAGTTAACGACGTGCCCCTTTAATTGGTCTTTTAATCTTTATTGTTATACCTATTTCTTTTGTATTGTTGAATGAAGTTTTTAACATTAGACTGTATCTATTAATTTAGTCTTACGCTTGTCTTACTTTTACTGACTTACTCTTACTTTTGGATTCTTACAACCACTATTTTTTCATTCTCCTGCCTGTTTTACCTCCTTATATTCTTTAACATCTTATATATCAAATACAAATGCTGCATGTGTGTTAAAGGGTTTTAACATTTGACTTGATCTGTTTATCCTGAGTTATGTGCCATTTCGTTTAAGCACTCAGCAGCTGTATGAAAAGTTCAGCTTTCTTATCATAAATATTATATATCTGTATCAAAAATCCCTAGAATTCATTGAGTTTTCTCCATAAATGCTAATATTTGCTGTATTGTTTAACAGTTTTCATGTATAAGAGTTGTGGTTGCTTAAAACAAGCTACTCTAACATGTCAACTTGCACCCTGATTATAACTGAATGTGCTTCTTTCACTGACACTGTTCCCGTTTGCTTCATCTCCCTCAGTTCACAGGAAGTTCACTGACGGGAGGCAAAGAGCAGCTAAAAAGGCCGGAGGACGATGATTTGATATCCAAGCAGAATAAAAAGAGACCCAGGCCGATCCTTCTGCAGCACATGTCCCCCCTGCTCAAGGTAAGCTCTCCATTTAGAATAAACGCCTCGGGGAGAGCAGCGGTGTGTGTGTGCACCTCCTTGAAAACACTCGTATACACCTTATGCTTCGCCTGCTCTATGGCGCTCTCACATTGCCTCATTATGTGTTCCAGTTAGTGTTATTGCTATTATTGCATAGCGTTCCAGCTTTATTAACCAAATAAACTGCTCTTGAGCTTCTAAACGAACTGTACAAACACTTTTAAAGCGAGAAACTAAACATTTACCTCATCATATCTGATTAGTTTATCCAGATAAGGCTTATTTGGGAATTTATGGAATTTTCCGCTTCTGACTGTATGAGAGCAGCTCAAAAAAGCCCAACACATCAACAACGTTTTCATAACTACTCTCACTGCCCAACAGGTAGACACATGTCCGCACTGTAGGTCTAACTTTAGGGTGTACGTAGCTATAACTAGTTGGATAGATGGCAGGTGTTAGAAGAGCTCATAGCTAGTGTCATAGATAGCCATTGTTTGCCAGCCAGCTTGTTAAAACACTTTTAAAGCGAGGAACTAAACATTTAGCTCATCATATGTGATTAGTTTATCCAGATAATGCATATTTGGGAATTTACGGGGGTGATGTGAGGAGCTTCTGACTGTATGAGAGCAGCAAGGCGGCTCAAAGAATAACACGTCAACAACGTTTTCATAATAACTCTCACTGCCAAACGGGTAGACACATGTCCGCACTGTAGGTCTAACTTTAGGGTATACGTAGCTATAACTAGTTGGATCAGGGATGGGTAAATGACGGCCCGGGGGCTACTATACGCTTTTCATTCATAATTTCAGTGGGAGGGAGGGGCAGCGGCGCTGAGGAACCGCAGAGTGCGGGTTGACAGGTGTCGACATTCCCCTCATTGTGCGTCAGCAGAGACTGGCTACAAGTGTCTTAGGTTCAAGACAACTAATCTCTGGGTTAGTGTTCATGACTTCATGTTTATGTCATCTTAATGGTTAATCTTAATGCACACACATTTTCCGTGCTTTCCAATAGTTTAAAATAGTTTTATTCCACTTTTAAATAACATTATATTACATCACTTTTATCCAAAGCAACTTACATACTCAATACTGTGGACAATCCCCACAGGAGCAATTTTGAGGTGAAGTGTCTCAGGGACACAACGACATGCTGACTGCAGTGGGGTTTGAACCTGTGACCCCCTGATCCCATCACCAACGCACAACCCACTGCACCACACGCCTCCCAATAACCTGTTCAATACAAACATGCCACTTGAAAAAATGTAATAATATTTCTGTGAGCTGATATTTGTTTAGTGAGCTTATTAGAGGATGTTCCCTGAAAGTAACATGTCAATGAAGATGTCAGACTTAATTTGTTAATAATTACGTGTGTGTGTGTGTGTGTGTGTGTGTGTGTGTGTGTGTGTGTGTGTGTGTGTGTGTGTGTGTGTGTGTGTGTGTGTGTGTGCGTGCGTGCGTCCCCTGGTGGCCAGTACATACATTATGTGGCCCTCCCATCACCATCCAAGTTGCCCATCCCTGAGTTGGATAGATGGCAGTTAGCTTGTAAAGTAGATAATTAACTAGCTAGCTTGTTGAGAAGAGCTCATAGCTAGTATCATAGATAGCCATTGTTTGCCAGCCGGCTTGTTGGCTAGATAGCTAACATAGCCGGGAATGATCCCAAAGGAAATTAATTGTTTACAAAACTGTTCGTGCTTAACAGGAAGAACCTTTTAGTTTGAACCGGAAGTGAGAAAAGGGACAGGGCTACAGAAGGGGAATAAGCAACAAGTCAAAAGCTACTCATACAATGACTTCATTAACTAATGTACATATAAAGATCTTTAACCATGTGTTCCTTTGTGTTATTTAGAAGAAAATGAAGTATTCCTGTACCAAAGATCAGTCTTTTGCTTCTGTCGGCAAACATGGCGTCTTAAGAGAATTCTCCTTCTTCGATAAGGTGAGACTCCACTTTCTTATTCTGGTTTGTTGATCCACCGCCACAGTTTTATTTAAATAACTCTGATCTAACGTTCCTCTCCATCTTCTCATCCTTCAGGTCCGCCGCCTGTTTAAAAGCCAGGAAGTCTACGAGAACTTCCTGCGCTGCATCGCCTTGTTCAACCAGGAAGTAGTTTCGGGAGCGGAGCTGCTGCAGCTGGTCACGCCTTTCCTGGGGTGAGTGCATGGACAGATGATGGAGCTGAATATCAGTGCTCATTTTGGCAGCTATTTTAGATTTAGTCTTTAAA